CTCAGCAACTTATCAAAGTCAACAAATAAAGCTCGCCACAGATGCAAAATTGTGTGTGGTTTCCGGAGGTGAAACAGCGAAGCCTACTGACTTGAGACAGGAGATCTGCAAATTTTGCGCCACAGGACATCCGAGAACCTGCAAATAGTGTCCGGTGTGAGGACGGCAATTCACCAGAAGTGGAAAAAGTAACCACATTTTTGCGTTGCCGCAAATCAACCAATTTGATTGCGGTCGTACTTGACAATTTCACCGCAGATTCAGAAAATACAATTGGCAGCATTTCTGGGAGATTGCCGCAAAGATGTGTCTACGTAACTCTTTTGAGAGAAGGCAAAACTCCGCGATTCCAGTTAGATGCGGTTGCTACTGTCAGCATTCTACGGATGATGCACTGTCATATGGTTCACGATCGATCCGATCAATATTCCCTGCGTACGTCAAAGAACTCCAGACTTCACTCAAAGAGTTCAACTACCATCGAAGTGGTTAACACAAGAACAGGAGCCGCACATTGATTGGAAGTTGTGATCTTGGAGGAGTACACGGTGATTCTCGACATTGATTCGATCCAGTCTTTCGGTTTTGTTGTTTTTATTCATGCTTGTTTTGTGCATGTTTGCCAGGGAGAAACCGATATTGCTCACTGGTATTCGTCTGTGTTTAGCCCAGGTTTGGGATAGTTTGAGGGAATCGCTCAGTTTGTTACGACCGACAGTACTACCTGCAAGGAGAGTTCCATTTGCACTGACTGACAGGTTCTCTGCTGAATTGAGCAAATAATGAGATACGGTGTGATTGCCAAACTCGACGAACCAACCGACTGGGTTTCTCAGGTTGCAATCTTTACGAGGCAGGCGGACGAACTGTGTATGTGTGTATTGACCCAAAACCGTTGAATGATGCCTTGTGTAGAGTGCTACTTGCGCTACCTACCCTGGCCGACATTGTACCGAGTTTGGCTAAAGCTACGTGTTTCGCGAAAGTAGGCTTCACTTCGGCATTCTGACACGTAGTTCTAGATGATGAAATCAATTTCCTTACTACATTTGCAACACCGTTCAGGCGTTACCGTTGGCTGCGCTTAAAGTTTGGTATATAGATGGCGCGAAATTTTTCAAAGGCGGTTACTGCATGCGCTAGAAGTTTAATATGGTGTAACGCGCGTGGCAGGGGATGTCTTTATCTATGGCTAAATTGAATAATTACATGACCCTAATTACCGTTTCTTGCAGCGTTGTGTGCAAAAGATCGTCAAGCTCAAACATGAAAAATGAAATTCGGAAAGACGAGGACATTTTCCATGGGCATTTGCTAACTGCCAAACGGGTCATGGTTAATCCGGGAAAAATTAATGCAATTCGAGAGATGCCGCGTCCTAATGACGTGAAAGGAATCCATCGCTTAAACGGTATGGTGAATTACGAGCCGTAATATGCCAAGTATCGCTACTGTCATACCGACGATCAGATGTTTTCTCACAAAGAATGAAAGTGAAGTTAGGAACTGAACCGAAAAGCACCTTAGCAACTAATAATCACCTCGTTGTTACGGTTTACTCCGATGTCTTCGCAGCAGCAAGAAATGCAATTGGAATTCGAAGTACCGGGGGTCCTTGATTGCTTGCCAGTGCAAGTAGCAGAACGTTCGTTAGGCAAAAGTCCATGCCGTTCTAGGAACCTGACCTGACTTGACCATCAGCAACTCGCCTGCACTCTTACATTACGATCCAGCGCAGTCTTTGGAGGTACGTTGTAACAGTAGCCAAAATGGAATAGGTGCTGTTGTCTTAAAGTATAGAACATCATTGGATTTCCGTAGTCGAGCACACCGGTATGGAGAAACCCTATGCGTAGATTGAGAAGGCGTTGCTTGCGGTAGTCTATCCGACTATAAAAGTGCGACATGGTTATTGTGTATACGATTGGTGCACAGATAATTATTGTGGATACGTTTTCAATAGCTGATTTGCCCGTACCCGAGTATAATCCGGAAGAGGTCGGTCTTAGAGGTCGAACTTAGTGCAGCACCTAGCAGTGTCAGCAAATCGCCTAAAGTAAATAAGACGCCACACAAACGAAGACCAAAGTTTTTAGCTTTGAGAGCAGTTATTCTTAATGAGTGGCCAGAGACAAGTTAGCAGATGTCGCCAAACCTAATACTCTACATCCATTTTTGTGAGGAACTCACTGTTTATGAGAGTTTGCTGTTCAAAGGAAGCCAAATTCAGCTTCCGTCATCGCTCCAAGAAGAAATGCAATAATACATTCATCGCGCTCACCTTAGTGCCAATTATACAATTAACAGCGCAAGCGAATTACTCCTACGGAAGGAATGAGGAGTCCAATAAAATGTCATACATCAAATTGTGGGGCTCGCCGTTCATCAAATGAAATCCGACAGACGAGGAAGCAATGTTGCTGCATGAAGTCCCTGACGGACTTGTGCAGAAGTTGGCCGTGCGTTTATTCAGTGCTAACAGGGAAGATTACTTACCCACGATGCATTATATAGTGGGTATTTTGAAATAGATTTAGTTTCCACTTCGAACAAATTGGCATTAATTAAAACGCTTAGGTGTAAGTTCGCGCGGCACGGTATACCGTGGCAGCTGGTCTCCAAGAATAGGCCTCTGTTTACCAGCGGTGCATTCCAGGCGTTGGCAACCAAGTGGAAATTCGTGAACCAGCAAACCAGCCCATATCACAGTCAATCGAATGGAAAGACGAATTTGGCAGTGAAGCAGGCCAAGCGAATGTTTTCAAAGGCTAGGATAAATGGCAAAAACGCTCATCTCTTGCTTTTGGGGAGTCGTGACAAACCTTTAACCAAAATCTGTTTGAGCCAAGTGCAGTGTCTACAAAGCCGAAGGACTGGTACTCTGATAACGGCACCTATCAATACTTTGCGCCTAGTTTCGCCAGAGCACGAACAATTACAGAAAGACTTGGTACGACGAATGACTACTCAGAAACGGTACTTTAACTGCGGTGCATAGGTGCTATCTGAGCTAACTGTATGTGAGGGAGTGTGGGTTCAACCATTACCCCATACTCAAGTGGGGTAGAAGAAAGGTGTGGGGACTGCGTGGGTCGGTGCAAGGTCATACCACATATAAGTTGGAGGGAAAACGTTCAGAAGAAATCAAGTGCATTTGAGATGACGCCCGAGACAATAATGCGGCTAGGAGGGAAGTAGCAGCTGCCGTGTGTCAAAAAGACCACGGCTGCAGACACAGCGAAGACGCTGCGAAGTGGCAAGGTGTACGGCGTGGATAGCCATATGGAGGTGCAAAACAAGAAAAATGGGAGGATGTGATGACAGTATGAGATCAGATTGACCAGCTGGACCAACCGAGCGAGGCAGACAGCCAATGGGAAACAAGCTTGACGGATTTGATTACTGGACTCTGATTGCTTAATAGTTGTGAGTGTGATTCATTCTTTATTTAACTTCAGTAAAGAATGAAGCTCATCGTCTCAGAAGGGTAGTTAGTTATAGACTTAAAACTGTCATTTATATCTAGGAGTTTGGTTTGCTAAACGTGCTGTAATTTTTGCTGAGCTGTCTTTGCCGAATAAACGCTAGTCCCACAAGCACGGAGTGCTGCAACAGTTTCATACCTCGTTCTCGCCAGGGACATCAGATTGGATCATGTATTCCACATGCGGTGTCAGATACGCATTCAACATTTGCTGACCTGAAAATCGTTTGATATTTCTTAAAGACCCCCGCAAGATCCCCGTTTGTTAACTGGTCTTCTGAAAAAACCTTTTAAGCAAATTTCGTGTTGCCATCATCATCATCCTCGATTAACCGAAGTCACTGTTTTGAGAATCATGCTGCAAATGTTAGTCCTCAGATCGATATTCATAAGCTTGCTGCTGGCGTATGAAATGCATTTGGCCAAGTTGAATTGGAGCCGGTTTTCGGACGACCACGTACGGTCTCTTTCATACTCTCTTTAGTGCCGCATGAACCCCAGTGTCTTGATGTCCTTCTGGGTCTTGACATCGCCTGAAATCGGTACATAATACTAATGGAATGTACACGCGAATGCTCCACGAGCAATAGCAATGCATTTGGTTAAAGTGCTGATCCGTGGGGTACTATTCCTCAGGAATGCACAAATGATTGTAATCAAACCGCTTACTCTCACACTCAATTAAGGTTGCATGATAAATTTGCATATCTTATACAAGCCAGATTAACCGATTACATGACAGTAAACTTATCGAGAAGAATCCGTTGGTCAAAGTGATCTGAAGCACTTGATACTTACAGTAAGTGATGTAGAAACCAAAGCTGGCATCTACGGTATTCATCCAGTTTGCTCTGGTTAGGAGTAAGCTTGTGCCTTAAAACAATTTCGGCAAAATTCATGCTATTTTGATACCAGGCAGTGGTTATTTTGAAAACTTCCCATGATAACCCACGCAATATTACCAGTAACATTAGGAAGCACCAGAAGCAGAGTGAATGGATGGTGATGCAACAACTCCGCACAAATGCTAGTTTTGCAAATAGAAATAAAAATTACTTGTTTTCACATTTTTAGAACCTACATTTCTTCAAACTATCGTCGGAAGAACGGAGCTAAGTGTTCTGCGACCTTCATGGTGATTGTGTTAATGCCTTTTTTGTCTTATGTTCTCCACGCCACGAAAGCTGTGCGCGTGCGGTCACAACGGTCTTATCAACACAACCGCAGCCGTTAAGGATACATATGAAACATGGATCAGTATCTGTCGCGCTGAGCATGGTGAACCAATCTTGCTATCTTCAGCGGCATGCATTAAAAACACAGTTTAAGATAGACACGTAGCATCTTAAGCGTTCGTAGTTGGTCCTTGTCGATGCTTAGCTGTCTGGACTGTTCTGTGATAGGTCATCTATTTTGCTAGTCCGTATGGATGTGTATAGATAAAGTACTCATTCATTCAACCGGTGTAATCATCCTACACACTGCGTTACTGTTCGGTAGAGACACAATTCCTAAAATGCAAACCGCAGTATTTGTGTGCTTTCTAAATTTCCTCCTTGGTGCTTCCAGCAGTGAGTTTGTAACTAAATTTGATTACGACTCTTGTGATGCTTTCTAATAACCACGGTCATTCAGCGATTGATGATATTACAACTCCTATTTTTGGCAGTAAATCATTTGAATGAATATTTGTAGACAATATTTGTAGAACAATGTTTTGTTTTGTAAAAAGCAGTCAGCGTTGCTTTGAAGCATTACTGCCGTTTCCCAGCAAAGCGAACTTTTATCTTCACTACCTGTTTCGACGCCAGTTCCAAGCGTTCTCATGGCTTAGTTACAAGATATCTACTCGGTGCAAAGAAGAGTCCTCAAGTTGCGGAGCAGAAATTGGAATGGTGTGAAAAATCAACACATGCTGGACCATGTAATGCGCACTCCAGAAATGCCTCGATTTATTTAAAAATATTCAAGGATTGTTTCTTGCATTATATAACCCTTCTGCATCGAAACTAGGCGAAAAATGACTGCAACAAGATTATTTCACCAAGTTTGCAATGTTTTGCAGATGCAAATTTGAAACAGACACTTGCATTCGTGTATACAGCGGTTACTCTGTACGATTGCTAAGACAACAATTTGTCAATTCTTAATAAAACTGTGTATAATCGTTGTACAGTGTTTAAACGGTTGTTTGACTATTGTCCACTTTAGACGTCTTGTCAATCACGTTTGCCGAGGACGAGAGACCCTATAACGATTTCATGAATGAAACAATCGGAACAAACGTGGAATCCTACTGTAGAACCCAAGTTGGTGATTCAGTTCAATACCCTAACCTACTGTATTCTTAATTACATGTGGTTCAAACGTTTTAACTTTCGTTTAACTGTAAATTATACATGCCTTGGCAAATCGACACCTTCCGTGTTTTCATGTTGTGTAATCCTATCCCGGTCGACATTATGTGACGACTCTAATGCAACATCTTTTTTGATTCACTTAGCGTTTAGATTTGAATCAAACTTCCCATGGAAATCGTTTGGTTTACAAGTGGTTCTATGAACCCAGGACAAAAGAACTGGCGTGCGTTTGTGAGACGAATGTCACGACAGAGATGAACCTGTTGCTTTGGCAAGGGAATCATAGGTCACGAGCAATTCCGGCAATTCTTAAAAATCATTTTACTGAAGGTGAGCTAAAATTATATACTTGTGCACTGTTATTCACCTACTAGCATGATACTTGATAGCTTGAGTTAAAAAAGTTTGCGCAAGCGGTTTTCTTTTCTGGACAAGCATCTATAAATACGTTGCATTTTTGACGAAGTAGAATAATTGAAGTCAATGTAAAGCGAAATGAGGTATAAGTTTCACAACCGTTTAAAATATAATAACCTACTTGAGATAATTGCTCATTGTATGCGCCGATCTATTTAGAATAAAATATCAACTTTTTTATTTATTTTTGTGATGCCATATTAATTTAAGAAAATGGCCTACCCCAAGGGTGCTTCGGTAAGTCCTGCTACAAGTTACTCAGTGTTGCTGACTTTAGTGCGTCATTAAAAATATGCAACGTAACATAGCACGTACACTCCATTGTTTTAATTATAATTCAGCTGTTGTGGTTACATGAAAATAATAAGAACATTGATCTTTGCCAAAGAAACATATATCATAACCACCCTTAATGTATTTAATTAAGCCCTTATTTAAAGCATATATAAGATAATAAATGAATAGTGTGTCAGCTGTGCGCCGTAACGGCGCTTCATCTTCGCGCTACCACCAATAGTCGCGCGCGGGCTGAGTATACCGCGAGGACCCCCACCCCTACGCCGATTCGAACCGGTGACCTTAAGGTTGCAAACCAAACGCGCAGACCACTCGGCAAGTAGCCGATGCAGCCAATTTCTAGCATAAACCAACTAACGAATTTTAAATCTCAATCTGGTTCCTGATCGATCTATACACTGTGTTGTTGATTTGTTCGGATTTTTCACAGAGGTTTAATGTGCATGACGATATCGGAATAAATTGTAAATCATCTTTAAGGAATAGTTTACGTTTTTATCAGGGTTGAAAATATTCAGAAGGCGTTATCTCTCAAGGTTAAGAAACACATATATAGAGTACTTCACGTTTAGAAATTTACACCACATCTAAGAGTATCCGGATCACAAATTTCAGCTTGTTTACCGTGCCTGATATTCATCACCTTCAAATTGTTGTGCTTGTGATCAACTAAAAATCACACCAAGGTTCTGATCGAGGAGGTAAAATAACACCGCTCCTCATAGCGAAAGCCGATCGGTAGTATATAAATCTATCACAGTAAGAAGCAGGCGGTGAACACATAGAGTTCACATGTAAGAGATTGCAGGGGATTATTGCAGCAAATAAAGTGTGTCTTGACATTGTTACTGTGCAGTACATGCCTCAGCATCCCTGCTTAATCCTCATCCCCATTGGATTTGCAGCATATGTACTGAACATTTGGACCGAGTTGGACCCCTTGAAAACTGCTCGTAACCTAGTGAGTAAAACTGCACAGCTTGCTAGTTATTTACACGAGATGGCAGGAATAGAGTGGCCGAAATTTATCAATAATCCTGGGCTGGATTTGGAAAATGAAATATAATTATTTTCCATAGTAATAAAACTTGTTGATCAATTCGACTTAAATTTTCCTGTTCATAAGTGGTTGAAATCTATTTTATGCTATCTGCATTTGATTTAATTCACCAACAAATATAATTCACTGCTCGCTCTAAATTGGTTGAAGGCTTTGCAACTTGACTTCCTATGAAGCACGTAAATTCACTGCTTCGAAAAATTCGACACACAATTGGATGTTCTTATCTCTGCTCCAGTTCTCCGGTGCCGCAATTAGTGATGTCGAACTGAAAGATCCGATATGCGAGAAGTTATCTAACCAAACAAATGCTTATGAATGTCAAACATTGCACTGCAATAACAAAAATGTATCGTGGGAATATCCGGAAAACTGGATCGGTCCAGTGCGATATCTCAGAAATATCGCTTACGATCCGAATAAAATATTTGTTCAAATTGTCGGGATGTATTGGCCAGTGAAGCACTGTAAGTGTTCTTTTGGTTGTACTCTTGTTCGTTGCTATGTTACTACTAGTAAGTGGATGTTAAGATTTGCTTCCAAAAGTCCAGCACTGGTCACTCACAATTACATCAGTTAGTGAAAACCCTTTCGGGTATTACAGATTCTCTTTTAGCCTGTATAAGTTTGGAGTCGTGAACATGGTTTTTAGATAACATCATACAACTATGTGCAGCATTGAAATGTTCTTAAAGATCATTATGAATACAAAGCCTTTGCTTTCAGATAAAGGACAAGATTACGCTGCTCCGCTTCTATCCTTTCCTTTTAGTAGCTGGTAACGCCAAACAGCTCCGTGAGTTTTCAGTTTGTTCGCTGCTAAAATCAATAGTCAGTGGTCATTGATTTCTCCTGCCAAATGCAGAGGCGCATGAAAATGGTTTCATTTACATTTGCAATCAAGCACAAATAGCATTCACATTTTATCAGGCGGACTATGGTTTCCCAAGTTGCTACTTAAGTTGTGGAATTTAGCCGCTGGTTGGACTTAGTTTGGTGTGTGTGTGTGAATTAAGCCATGTTTATGCCATCACTCGAAATGCATTCACTCCACTACGTGTTGTTACATGTTTTCCAAAGATGTGGACACAAGCATGCTAGTGCCAGCATGGCAAACCGATATCTGCGATTCTTTCTTAAACAAGGCAAGTTGACCTTCACTGGAATGCTCAAGTACATAAAATTAACCTGGTGGTCAATGAGTCGTTGACTGCCAGCATTTACGGAACATTCAGCTGTAACCAATTTTGCCTCACACAACCAAATGTTCATCCTCGGTAGATAAAATTGCGCATCCTGTTCGAAGATAGAACCTGTTATTAGTGCTATAGCATAATGAGAAATAGCACTCTAAATATACCATTTGATTCGGGCTGACATACAATGTAACATTTGTTGGTTATACATGTCAACGTAAAATTAACCGCGCGGTAGCTATTTTTGTGATAGGCCTTGGTGAGAACAGAACATTAACTGCGTTTAATGCATCACATATATAATGGATATGAAAGTGGAAGATCCTGAATGCGCTGGGATCTTATAAGCAATTTATATCCTATTTAATGTGTCATGTATTTACTGCTCAAGTGCAATCTCCAGTTGCTCCAGATATTCGTTTATTCCATGAAATTGCTTAAGCCGCGTTAGGATTCTTGGTCAGTTTGCATACATTTGGTCGGTTTATTTTCAGGATTTTGTATTGAAGGTTATCAAAGTATACATGGTTTGAACAGGTTTAAAATACACAGTATGACATTCAAAAAAGTAGTTAAGCTATATTTTTGATGAGATTTGAAAGTACGGATGATCATTTATTCGAAGTTCTTGCTAATTCGGTGTTGGGTTTACGTACAGTGACACTTGTGCAACTACATTCAACAGAACATCTAAGTTTGCTTGCAAATTTTAATCAAAGGACAGCTAGATGCACGTGGCCCTGTATAGATATGATTGCACCTATAGTACGTCGTCCGAACTGTAGAATAAATTTTAGCGCTCAATATCGTGAAATCAATTAGCTGAAGATTTTCCTAACTGGGTTATGCATTGTCCAGCCAAGGCATCCAAATCTATACACCTCAAGCTTTGTACTCAATTACTTACGTTCAAATAAACTAATCTTGGCTGTTAATATAAAAAGGCGATGAAATATATGGAGCAGACCAAGTCCACGATGCAATGATTTTGCAAATCGTTGGCCACTCCTCGGTCGATAGTTAACTAATGTTTATAAGTGTAGCTAAACAGCCACAGGTGGTTTGCGTAAAAAAGCGTTTATGCGTGACGTATTATTATTGAAACCACAAAGTATGTTAATTCACCATTTTTCCAACACAGATTTTTAAACGGAGGACAGATGTGAGTAAAACAATTGGCACTGTTTTAGCCAGAAGAATTTCCTTAGGACACAAAAAATTATGCATGTGACATAAATATATATGACTGTTTTTAATTACGTTTTCCATAACTAAGCAACATACCTTTTAACTGCAAGCATAACGTTGTACAATATCATGAAATCGTTCACTTTTATCGAGCCAGGCATTTGCGGGTATTTTATTCCAGCCTACACCGAAATGTCGTGTGGAATCCGATGAGAAGTCAGTTTCTAATCCTCCGCAAAAATTAGCAAAGCTGAATTTACTACTGACCTTGGAAGTTGATGAAAAATTAGCGATGGAAGAGATTGCCTTGCAGCTGGCCAAATTTTGGAAGCCTACTGAGCAGAGTTGCTCATTTCCTGTACAGATACGACCGGAATATGCTTACTACGGTAGGCAAACAGTTTTGTGTACTTTTTGACTATTAATTCTATATTCCTGATTTTAAAATGACCATTTTGTCGGTAAAGTTCGCCTCGCACATGGTATTGGGCACTTTTAATGGGTGAATATTCGCAAGATCACAGCACTTTTGGTATCCATAATTATTTTGCATAAATATTGGTTGCTGGACGTAACGGCAAATCGTTAGTTTTCTCAAAAGCTCATATGCTCTGGGTGCGACAAGTCAGAAGCATTGATTGTCAGCGTATAAAAGAGAAAATGAAATCAACGATTCTATATCGATTATGATTCTGGAATGGTTGGTTTACTCCTAGTAAGTATATACACTGTTTATCACCTCCGCGATAATAATCAGTGGAACAAATGACACACATAGAAACGAACTTAGTTGTGCAAGCGAGATACGATCGTTAGCATAGGGATCTACATGTTCCTACTTCGCATTCCCTGACCAGGGTTACATATTTCCCAACCGTACATTTCGTGTTCAGCATTCTTGTCCGGCTCACTGCAGCGACGACTGACCACATTAATGTGTTTTGTTAGTTGGGCAAGAATTACTGCTTCAAATTATTGTCCTGAGGTATTTTGAGACGCCACTTATTTATCGTGTACGATCAGTTAACGTAATAGCTTGGCTGATAAAATGCGTTTATTAATAGCACAAAATCTCCTCAACCCGATAGCAGGTGTAAAAGTTTGATTCCACAAATGCACTACAAGGACATGAACCGTAACTTGATGGAATTTTCGACATTCAAACAGCTTTAAAGTTAGCCAAGTCAGAAGGGAAGTAAAAGACTATTGCTATGTGCTGGTAACCTTAATTACGCTAAAATATATATAAAATATAGTCAACAAATTTGTAGAAGCAAGCTTGATGTTATACATCGCGTTTGCAAGAAAAGGTTTTTAGTAACATCCTGCAAGCCTTATAGCTACAATTGCTGTTGTTGTCTCAAGCGAATTCGAATCGATCTTCCGCGCAATGGGATTTCGCTGCGAGATGGAAATGACAGTAACCATCGCGGCTCATCTTAGCTACACTTTCTGTACATTAACTAATAGCAATCATACAATTACGAGCAGAGTGCTGTCAAGGTCAGTAGTTTATCGTGCTTGGCAATATACTACATGTTACCGGCAACCCATACGTCTGAGAACGAATTATAAAACCACTTTTTCCTGTGGAGTCTTAGCAGAAGTGCGTATCCCTTAACTTCGCCGGGATCCGAAGCGATAAACACCGGCAACCATTGCGATTACAGAGCAATGAACAGGAAACATAAAATTTATGCAGATTAGGAAGATCTGCTTACCAAGTCCTGTGGGATAGTTTGTGGAGATAACAAAATCATTAGGCCATTAAAAATTATTATTATTATAACACTCATACTAATGAAAGGTCAGTTTAAATTTGAAAGGTAGGACTTGTCGCTTGTTCCGCTGTGGTTCTGAAATCCTCATAGTTTCAGAGCATTCATATTTATCCTCATATTAGTGTAAAGAAAACGCTCCAGAATTAGCGCTAACGAACAGAGTATAAGTGGATGAGTGCGTCAGCCAACCGATTTATATTTACTATTAGTGCCGTTGCGTAGACAACGGATTCCAGGAGGGAATTCCAAGTGTGACATACATGAATGAAAAAGTAATTCCTGTGGCACTCAAGGCGACTTTACTGTTCTACTAGTTTTAGTGAGTTACCTGTCCATTTCTTACTGCTGCTAAGTTGCGGGAAGGAACGGAACAAGTGATGTGAGGCGCACAAAATCAAATATGCGATAAGCAATTCACCTCATTTTCTGCGATGCCGTCCGCTGAATACCTCTATCGTTTCACCCTCTGCTCCTATGGTAGGTGGCCCATTCCATTGACTTGTCTGGATGCCTGACGTTAAGGCCAGTTAAACAGTTTGAGCTAGCCTTCTAGCTATGGATGCCGTGCTTAGATTGTAAATACAACATGCGGGTGAAAGTACGCACTGAGATTATGTCGAAAAATAAGCATGGCAATTGATCCGAACGCTCACCGCAACAGCCCGATGTTTGCTTACCTTTCGTCGCGGCCATTTCGGCTTGCCTGGAGCAACCCAGTCATCTTGTATTAGCATACGCAAGTCATGGACGACAGATGCTTGTTGCAGTACATTCGTCCCGAGTCGGTATGAGTTGTTCCTCTGATGTCGTATGGATAGTGCCTTACATTTACTCACGTTTAAATGCAGTAAATCTTGAATTGACCATTTATATACTGTATCTACGTCACTTTGAAGCAGCTGCTTGTCGGCATTCGACTGAATCCTGCGCCGACTCTTGATATCGTCAGCAAACATTTAGAAGTTTGAAGCGATTGTCTGTGCGTGGTGATTAATAAGCACCAAAACAGACGTGGAACTTATGTCTTAGTCTATTCAGCCAGTCAGTTTTCCGATGTCGGTGTAACGTGTACGCTTCCTTGAAATAATGTGTAAATCCAGTCCCTTACGAGCCCCGTGTGTGCTGAATACACACGGCATTAACACCTTAGCATACCTGGGACGATTGTACATACAATATTCAATGATTTATCATTGTTCTTCATTTTTACCAATTGACCTAGAATATATACCCTGTGAAGTTCGAATTTCACTTCGGGTATTCTTACTACGATTCGTGACCAGCCTGGTTGCAGCCAAATTCTATTTCGATACTGAACCTACTACATTTGGCCTCGTGGTCAGTGCTAATTCCAAAATGAATTCAACCATTGCATCCTTGTACGTATGTGCATCTCCCTGAGAGTTACAAGAACATCTGGGAAGATTCGAGCTATGGTGAATCAGCAAAGATGACCTTGGAGAAGACCATAAAGACGCTGGCTTTGTAACTGTTGTCGGACGAGAGGTCTGGTCAATCCTGAACAATCGGTCTTATCCTTAACTACTGTCGAGCTTGTCGTATGAAATGTAGATGGAACTTTGTTTCACTGATAAAAGTAAAATTTCGTGCATGCGTGCTAATGCGTCAACATAATCAATATTTCCGCATTTTATCCTCCTACTTAAGTCTTAAGCTTCTTTTCTGAATTTGGAGATATGCTTGATGCATTTCTGAGATGTCGCCTGATTGCTGACATAAATAATCCCTTTTTATGTCGCCAGCTGTTATCAATTCTGGCACTCAGTTATAATCAAGTAAAATCCATATGTTTGCACTATCAAGATATTTCCGAAATTAAATGTCCCAAACGACTGTACTTGGTCAACAAGTTTTGTTTGAATCAATCAACCGCGGAGTTCATGCTGAAAGGAGGAAACGGTGGCAAAAGAACTCGTTTAATTGTCGCAGCATTGCTCCATCGCAGGCTCAGAAAAATATTAGTGTAAAGTGTTGTCAAGTCGAAGAAAAGATGGGACAATGAGTTGTTTGTAGGAAGCTGCATTCCCTGTGTACCGGTCCGAAACGGAATTCGAAATGCCATCAGTGGGGAAAATTCGGACAAATCTGCAGTCTTTACCGTCAACTCAAACCTGGTCACTGAGTGATGAAAACATCATTGCTCTCCGAACTGTCCGGTGAAGATTTGATCCAAATGTAGCAACAAGTATATAAAATGCTGCCATCCGAATAGGTGTAAAAGCAATAGGCACCGCGCCACAGCTAGACAACGTAACACTGAGCGATCAACTTACCAATACAATTCTGTCACTGTGTGTCTCAGAAAGGCAACAATACTAAAACACACCGGCAACTGAAGTAGGACTGGATGGTCACACTCTATTTGGCGCTGAGAGCTGCATACAACAACCTAGACTGGTCCTAGGGCCTGCGTCATTGGTTCTATAAGAAGCGACCGGCACACGACCCGCAAGGGTCGGCACAGACCCCCACCGGAAACTAGCATTCACAACCCCGCTTCTGATCACTGATACCCTCACCTGCTTGTATATTAATGCCCAAGGTCTTCTCAGCAAGCTAACCGATCTTCGTACACGCCAGGTCTCCACACCTTCGGACCTAGTTATGGTCACAGATGCTGAAATTGCACTATTCGGCATGAGTTCCATACGAAAGGTTCGGCCTAGCAGAGGAGGGGATTGCTCCTGTTTTATCGATCCGACTCTTGTGTTAATAGCGTTCTGGATGCAGAAAAGAAAGTTCTCGTGTCGGATGCACCTAAGACGTGGTGATGTGTGTTAACTAGCAATAGTTTGTCGCCCTCCAATGTTCAGCTTGGATATGGATCATTGCCTAGTTTCGGCGAGAAAACGAGTCCTGGAACGACCGTATAGTTACGTCCTTCTGGTGGGGACTACAATCTGCACGCAATCAAAGTTTCAATTTTGTAAAGCAAACAACAAAAGGTGGATTTGCAAGAAGTGATCGCCTGTGTACCTATGTACAACCATGTCACCTTTCCCACGTGATTCCGAATGAGTAACACACCCTCTGTTTTGGACCTTGTCCTCTCCAACGTGGAAGTAATGGTGGACACCATGACCATAGATGCACCATATGGCCGTAACGATTACGCGAAGTTGCTTGTTCGTTGCACTTGTTACTCAGAGTACATCAGTG